CTGCCAGGCAGCACAAGCAGCCCCAGGGCCAGCAGGACCCAGCTCGGCTCTGCATGGTCGCCACATGCTGGGCCAGGTCCTGCAGCTATAGGAAGAGCCTGGCCATAGCAGGACCCAGTGCGGCATGCGGGAACTGCATGCTGTGCCAGCTCCAGGCCCCAGGGCTCCCACCTCTGCACCCTGTGCCTGCAGGGGTGTGAGGACCTGGCCCAGCTCCATGTGGCTCACTAGTCCGGCCTTGCACCGGAGCGGGTCACAGGGCTCCAGGAGGCGCGGCCCCTGTGTGTGCCTCCTGCAACCGTGTGACCCACTCCACTGCAAAGCCAGACTAGTGAGCCTCAGGGATCTGGGCCCAGCCTGGCTGAGCTGCAGAGAGGCCCCAGGATCCGGCTGGACCCGGCACGCAGTCTCCGCATGCTGGGTCCTGTCGCCATGGGCCCAGCCTGGCTGGGCTGCAGAGGGGGCCCAGGATCTGGCTGGGCCTGGCATGCAGTCCCTGTGTGCCGCACTGGGTCTTGCTGCCACAAGACCAGCCTAGCTGGGCAGCAAGAGCAGCCCCAGAGCTGGCAGAACCAGGCTGGGCTCGGCGTATGGTCCCCCCACTGCTGCTGTTAAAGGTTAGTTATGGGCCCTGGGCAGGGGGACTGGGGCCCTGTGGGGGGTAGGGGCCAGGGCCCTCCAGGGGGGAGCTGGGACCCTGGGCGGGGGGGCGCATTCCATGTGCTGTGTGGGGGGCTGCACCCTGTGGGGGCCAGGGGACCCACCCCTCCTGAGCAGCCCCAGAACCACAGTGCCCCCAGCAATTGCCCCACTCCTACCCACAGACCAACCCACATCCCTCCACATCCACCCACCTGCCTTCCCCCACACCCTTTATCACCCCCTTTCTACAAACACCACATCCTCCCCATCACACACCCATCATGAATGAAGAAAACCGAAAACACAGATCAACACGTATTTAGAATTTATTTTTGCATGATGATAGAGACACTGGTAGGCTTCCAAATTGCTTTAACATTGTAAATATACCAATAAAGCATTACCCAACTTATCACTGTCTCTCTCTCTCTCTCTCTTGATATATGTGTGTGTGTAGAGTGCTTTTTTGTTTTAAATGTGGAAGAACATGGATTTTGGGGTATTTTAAAAAATGGATTTGGGGTGCTGATGCAGCTGCTGCTGCAGCAGTCCAGCTGGCACAAGAGGTAGTGTCCCCAGGTATCAACTGGCTGGGCCCCAGAAGTTCCAGAGAGCGAATAGCCTCGAGCTGCTTGCCAGGGCAGCTTTTTGTATGGATGGGGCCAGGACAGGGCAGCTTTTTATACTGCTGGGGACAGCACAAGTGCTGGCTCCAGGCTCTAGCTCCACCTGGCTGCAGATCCAGGAAAAGCCAGACAGGGTTATTTTGCCCCAAGTGGCACAATTTGCTCCACATCAAAGTGCGTGTCTGAGCACGTGTGCTGAGGCAAAAAGCCCTGGCTTAAATTTGCACCGCTTCTATTTGAGCTGCTGCAAGCGCACGTGCTTGCATGTATGGACGTGCCCATAAAGGGATCACTTTTCCCTCTTTGTGATACCATAGCCACTGGATCATTTCTAGCAATAATCTTAACTCTTTATGACTGATCCACTCTGAGTTTCAAGAAGAGTAGGAAACTTCAAGCTGGTTTTAAGCTCTGCAACTTAATCCTGGAGTCCTCTCTCTGCCTTCCCCCAGCCTGCAACCCCATGATTTTCAAGCAAGAAAGGCTTACAAACAAGTTTGATTTAAATTTATCTTTCAATTCATACACAATTTCCCCCACTTTTCTCTCAGCTCTACCCAGAACAAATGCTGTGGGTACTCTAATGTAAGCTAATGCATTGGTGATACATTAGGGGAGCATTGGGGGCGGGATGTGCCTCTCCAGATTTCTGCACCACCAGTGGGGCATGGAGCACGGGGCTGCAGCCTGCTGGAGCCGGGGCCTGGCAGCAGTAGGGGTGGTGGCGACAGTATGATTTCTGCAATTCATGAGAAGAAACTAAGCACCCATTTAATAATGTGCTAATCTTGTAGTACAAGTTAAGTGCATATTTAAGTATTTTGCTGCATAACTATAGTTTCCCAAATCAAAGCCAGATGATCAAGCATGAAATAGTTAGTAGCTAACATTAAAGCTGTTGTCCTAAAATGTTGAAATCCACACTCAGCAGAGGTGACTGGAGGCAATTCACACTTCCTAAAAGCTACCATTTAAGTGAGGCATTGGTTACATTAGTTTACCTTATTTCAACCATGGTAGTATAAATCCTTTTAAAGATTTGATATTAGATATGTGGAAATATCTGATTAAAGCCTTCTAAATACCTAGGCACTGTAAGGTAAAAAAAAATCAAATGACCTTCACCAGGCAGATGATATATTGATATTGTATCCAGATAGTCTGATGAAGCTGAGAGTTTCAAGTCATTCCAAGATAATAAGTAATCCAGTACAGCTAGAACAGAAGAGTCTAAAAGTTGAGTATAACTCTGGATGGATCACAACAAAGACTTACGAGGCTAGAAACAGAAAACAGACTGTCACAGAAAAAATTATTCCTGAGACAGTCAATGGTTTCAAAGAAAGTAATGTGAAATACTTAATTACTCAGATGTTGTATGACTAAAAATGGAAGCTAAAGCACAAGATCCACATCTGTAAAATTAGTTTAAATCATGTGTTACTAAATTGAAATTTATTTTAAATGATACTTGCCTCCATACTTTTCTCCAACAGACTCCATAGCTTGCTGTTCTTCTTGCAATTTCAGCATCTCTTGCAGTTCTTTTCTGAAATGAGAATTTCTACATGTTAATATTTGCATAAATTTGATTGAACCAAGTTACTAATGCATTAAATATAAATAGATATATGGAAAAATATAATCAAGTTTAAGATACAGTTTAGTAAGCTTGCTTTTTCAAAGTGATTTATAATAAATAAATCAAAGATTCTTTGGTCTTGTACAGACATTCCCGGAAGGGTTGCTGTTCTCCTAGGAGAAACCAAAGTTTACAAATATTCAGGCTTTTTCTCCCACAGTAAGACTGGCCACTCCAGAAAAAGGGCCAGAGTACCCATATCAGCATCAGAGATAGTTTTAACCCTTTCACAGTCACTGACAAAATGGTGGTAGCTTTTGGCTGCTTGGCCACTGACAATTTTTCAGTGGCTATGAGAAGGTTAAACCAAAGCTTCTGGCTGAGGAGCCAGGTTGAGCAGCGACACTGTAAAGTATACTTTGGCTCTGTGGTCAGCACTCATCCATCCTGCTGGAAAAATCTTTTTTTTAATCCTGCCACACATGGGCGATGTGTTGGGGGGCATGGCATGCCCTCCCCAGATTTCTGTGCTGATAGCGGGGCATGGGGCTGCAATTTGGCTGGAGCCAGGGCCTGGCAGCAATAAGGGTGGCAGTAGTGGCATAGTATTTGCAATGGTGGTGATGGCGATGGTGATGCAGAATTGTGCCCCCCCACACTTATGCGTCATCTGTGCTGCCACTAAAACAAGGTGTATGCCTTATCTGGGGGAGGGAGGGGGAGAAAGGAGAGCATGCAAGAGAGATGGTATATTATATCAAATATGCATTTTATTTTTAAGTGCTTGGACATGTTATATTTTACCTTGCTTCATCTTCCTGTTGTTTCTTTTTTAATGCTTCCTCTTTTAGTCTGTTAAATATCTTAGAATTAATTTCATCCTTATTTGCTAAATAGAGTCTATGCAGTAAACATATTCCTGCAAAACAAATATACAAAATTAATTTATTTGTTGCAACAGTATATAACTGTCATATCTTAGAACAAACATGTTTTTAAGATATAAAAACTATTTCATAAATGGTTGACAACTTAGACACCTACTTCTTTAAATTATAGAAAAGGAAGATATACCAATGAAAATGTCAATTACAATCTTAATTTTGAAAATGTTAAAACTTTCTTTTCAATGACAACAGCCTTACAAGGTTAATTTAGCACAGTAGAGCCTCTACAGGGGATAGGTGGAGCAAGGTGTTGAATTTTTTTGTATATCACATATATATTTATGAAAAATGGAATATATATATAGTGAAGTTGTGCCCTTGGATTTAAAGAATTAAAACAAAGCTAAATAAAAATATAGAAATAAATGAGTTTATTTTGCTGTTTTTAAGATATAAACAAATATTCTCAAATATATAACAAATATATTCTCAGATATAAACAAATATATTCTCAATTCTGCAAAATATTTTGTCCATGTGAGTGAAGATCTGCTGGTTTAGAACAGCTTTGAGTATTTATCTAGTGGACAGATTCTAAGTGTTGTAAAAATTTTAACTCAAGAAGTGGATATTTTTCATTTTATTCCTTAAAACAAGTAAGTAGACCAGAATTAGTAAAATTCCCACAAGCAAAAAGATTAAAAAAAAAAACAAATTCTCTCAAACATAGACTTAAGAGACAGGAAATCCTTAGTTAAGCCTTAGTTCATAGCATCTGCTTGAATTAGGCTGCTGCCTATACCTCCAACCCCAGAATACAGAGGACAGAACTTCAGAGAGAAGGGAAGGAGAAATGGGTTGTGGAATCTGTATGTTCAATTCAAGCATCTTGGAGAGTCATACTTATAGTAAGTTAACTAGCCATTCTTTCTTCAAATGTGGTATCTACCCACATACAACACAACCTTTTTTCTCTAAAATCAGCCCTGCAAAATTGGGGTGCATGTCTTAAGTCGGGAACATGATTTTTTTTTGCTTCACGGTAGTCATTGTGCTTGAATGACTGACAGAATGGCTACCACATCACTGGGGACATGCAGACGGAAGGTCAGAAGGTTAACACTTTAGCAACCACTAAGGAATTTGCACTAGCATGAAAGCTTGTGCCTGCAGCAGCAATTCAACTGGTTCAGGGCAAGTGAGCTGCAGCATGCAGTCTGTAACATCTTGATAAGGCTTGTGGTACGAACAAAACTTTATTTATTATCTCCCTCCTGGAAAGAAATATTTATTTACAGTAGGAACTAGCAATCTTCCTACTGCCCCTGCAAGGCTCTGGGGCCTAGCCTTATTGCTGTTTTGCCACATCAGAAAGTTCCTGCTGCTTTACCCACACTATATCCTGAGATGCCACACTACCTGGAGGATTTATTCTATATTATACAGTGGGCCATGACTCTGGAAAAATCTCTTTTTGTACATTCTGCCTTCCAAAGTAAAGGTGCGTCTTACCTGGTGGGGTATGTGGTATATAAGAAAATAGACTACGTGCACACATTTATCTTGTTCACTGGTGACTGGCAAGCCAGTTGCCCCTGAAAGTGGTGCAATCCCAGAATGCATATGAATAAGGATTTAAGAACTGCTCCACCAAACTGAACATTTGATTTAGAAGCTGTGACCAAAGATTAATCGCTAATAAAACATTGATTTGGCTCCAAATGACTGCCCTGCAAATATCTAGTACTGATGTTTTATTAAAACAGGCTGCTGATGTAGCTTGCCTTGTAGTTGAGTGAACTCTCATACTGAATAAAGGAACCACATTAGCATTTCCCTTTGATTTGCTAGCATAGGCTCAAATAATCTGAATGTCCTATTTATGGAGCTCTTCCTACTGCTCAGATAGTAAAAAGTGCTCTTTAACCTTCAAAGTATGTCATTTAAATTGCTTTCTCTCATGAATTAGACTTAGGAAAAATGCTGGTAGATGGATATATTAACAGGAAAATCTGATCCCATCTCTGGGATGAAATTAGAGTGTGTGATGTCATTGTAACTGTCCCTACAAGAAAAATTTTGAAAGGGATGTGCCATAAGAGCCTGAATTTCACATATTAATCATGCCAAATGTTTGCTGCACAAATATACTGTTCATCAGGTGAAGAAAGAGTCTAGCTGACATTCTGAGAATTAAGTCCTTTTGACTTAAGAGTGATAGAATTATGGAAAATTAACTGACAGCCAAATAAAGCCTATGTCCCAAATTTGGGAAAGCAATGCTGTACTTATAAAAATCACATGGGCTCTGCCTTGTTCCAAGGAATTAGAAAACCCTCTACTTTTTAGAGCTTGCACTCTTCCTTCTTTGACTGTAAAAGAAGTTCATCTGAGGGATTCTCCATTCACCTCCATACCTAAGATACATCCATGTCATCTTCATCATGTGGAAACATAGGAAGGATCTCTAGAGCAGTGGCAGCCAAACTTTTCAGTATGTGTGCTACAAATTAAGATCTCCCTCCCCTCGGTGCCTCTCTGATTCCCCACCTCCCAGAGACACATCTGATAGAGTTTGCACTCTGAGGCACTGGAATGGAAGCAGGGGAGTGTAAAGCTCTGGTGAGAGACACACAAAGTGCAGCAGGTGTAATGGCTGTAAGATGAGATGTCACCACTAATAGTCAGGTTAACATCTCCCTGGCCTTGCAAAGGTTTCAATTTTATATCATGAGTGAAGATCCAAAGCTCTCAATTTAGTAGCAGCTGCAGGGCCAGGGAAAGGCTAACTTAGCTCTTAGTGGTGACACTTGACACCTCATAGCAACATTCTGCCCTGCTGTATCAGAAACCAACCAACTACTACAGCTACTGCTTCGCCACCAGGTTTCATCCAGGTCCATTTTCTACAGCCAAGGTGTACATTACAAACATGTGCTCTGATCCCACAGACAAGGATGCCCACCTTAGGCATCTATGGCAGGATTTTCTATACTTGTAATACAATTTCCAAACCATAGCTACTCAAATCAACAGACCCAGACTCAGACTGCTCATTTCTGCTACAATACCAAGTCCATGGCAAGGACAACAGAATCTCGCTGGGCACGTCTACACATGCTGATTTAAGGTGCATTAGCTAGTTTTAAGGTGCATTAAGGATGGATTTGAGAGAGCCAGAGTTTCTGCTTGGAGGTATGAGTACTTATTAATAATACTCAATTTCCTATAGCACTTTAAACCAGAAACTGAGGCACAGAGAAGTCACCCAGCAGGCCACTTGCAAAGCTGCAAAAAGACTCACTAGTTACAAGCCCTAATCCAGTGTTCTACTACACCAGGGGTCATGAGTGTATGGCCCACTGGCTGGGTCCAGTCTGCCACTGGATCTGGCCCACAGAGCTTCCAACCTGGTCCCTGCTGCCACCTCTGTTGCTTCTCTCTGGTTCCCGTGCTGTGGCAGCAGGGTTTGAAGCACCATCCTACTTTATGCCCAATCCGGGTTGACCCAGCCTGTTATTACAAAATCTTGATGATTGCTGCACTAAATACCACACTTTCTCCTGTAAATAGGAGCCTGAACAAACTTTCACCTCAAAGTTTTTAGAAAATGCTCATACTTCCTCTTCTGTTGTCAGCCCTAAACCATAGCAGACAGATTCCGGCCATCCTTGTTAGTCCCTTTGTTGTCCGCTTATTTTTTATATTGGCCTCTACAAGATTGTAAGTGGGACACAAGCATGCTTCAACTCTGGTGTTTCTAATAAGTGTCTCTTACACACAGACAATGACATTGAAAGAAAAAAAAGGGAGATTTTAATTTGTGTACTTCATTAGTAAATATTTACTAACCATTATTTTCAGAATTCTTCAGACAGATCACAACGTCAGGTAAGATTCCCTTTTCTGATAAGACTGACCAATGTGCTGAGGTTATAGGATAGTTATCCACTACCCATCCTCCTTTTTCAGGAGCACCAGGATACCTGTCTTTATTCGTCTTAGTGAGCTGTTAGGAAACATTAGATTAAGTGGCACAAAAAAATTATGTGAGTACAAGCAGATCTGTGAACTGTTTAAAATATAGTAGAACTTTATTCACAGACAAGCAATATTGTTTTCTTCTTTATCAATGGTGTCCATAAGTCCCTACTTGTGAAAATTACTAAGCAAATATTATCCTGAAGGTAACCTAAAAAATCCAAGTTAGTAAGAAATCATGTGATGAGTCTTCTAAGGTAAACCTCAGAGTCTAATGTTGCTCATAAAAACTGTTAATTAAATGTTGTGGTACGATGTTGCAGATTTCCAAAATAATGAAATGATAAAGCAATATATTAAGCAGCCACAGCTTGTAGCTTTTAAGCAAAATGAGCACAACTATTCTAGGAAAAGAACACCAGTTTCGTTATTGATAACTGATATTTACATTCAAAATATCCATTTATTGATGCTTTAACACAGGGCAGATATTATTTAAATCAAAGTGATTAAAATCAGTAAGCATCAAACCATGATTAAAATGGTTGATTTTAATTTTGTTTTATATTTGTATTTTTAAATTTCCTAAAAAAGGCTTATATCAATATAGGTAACTTTTAAATGTGTGTAGCACATTCTCACTCAGCTCTTTATTTTTTGGGGGGCATACTCTCTCCCACATGGGAAACAATGTCCATAACAAAACTAATACTTAACAGACAACCAACAAATGGTTAACTCCTAGCTGTGGTCCTTTCTCAGACAGGGAGAGGACACCAGGACTTGGCTTGGTGCTCCCTTTCTTGACACCTCCCTCTATCTTCCAGCTCCTCTCCCTGAGAGTTTTTAACTTCCTCCCAGCCAGACACTCATTGCTCTCAGCTGCCGCCCGCCCACAAAGCAGGCATGTTATCACTTTTAATCACCGGCAGCTGTGCTCCCACCACTGAGCCACACTCTGGGTTACAACGTGGATTTGCAACTAAACATAACCTTTACACTAAATTTAACACCTTTTACTAATCAGAAAGTGAAATGTATCTATGCACATTTACTCAGCAATTATATAGCTTAATATCAATTTATTTATAGTTTGAATTTTGACATATTTTTACAAGAGAAAATGGTAAAAATGCATTTTTACTATTTTTTTTTAAATTTATCACTTCTGTCAAGCTCTTTTGGCAGGAAAGCAGAATTCAATTTAAAAGGGCACAAACAACACAAATTTTATTAGCTAAATAAAACTACTTTAAATGAGCTGTATATATTTTTTAAAAGTCTATCAAAATATATTTTGCATTTAAAACTGATTTATTCATCAAAGGAACTATTATCCATAGGTAATTAATTGAACTGCATGTCTTTGGTGACCAGGGTCTTCAAGAGGTTAGGACTCATAGATCTCATCCTCGCATATCTTGGATTTGTTTTTTCCCCCCCAAATTGTAAGATGAAAACAATATTTGTGCTGTAATTCCCAATTAGTTTCTCAACTTTAATTTTAGTTTAATCATTAAACTAAATTAGTTGAACAAACTGAAATGAAAAAAATAATCTCATTGCACCTATGTAGGATGCTGTTTGTTGCTGGCTGGGGCAGCTTGCACATGGGCCCTGACATTGTGGGGCATCACACATTGTGAAATGGCCCCTGCTGTGGGGAAAAATGGCCTTTAGGTCCTGGAGCAGAGAAACAAGAGCAACACGTACACTGGTGCTTCTTTTTTAGAAGCACCTGCTCCCTGCGCAATGGAAGACACTCAGGGAGTGACATCATAAAGATGCATAGGGAGGGAGAGAGAGTGGGGGATTCAAGCTGGCAAGAGACCTGCCAAGCTGGGAGAGCAGCATGGAGGCTGCTCTGTAAGCTACTGCACACAGGCTCTGACCCCATCACAGGCTGCAGAGCCTGTCCGGAGCTGCAAGAAGGGTCCTGAGCCTCACAGGGCTGGAATTAGAAAATCCAAAGATTGCCCAGAGAGTCTCATTGCGGGAGGGCTCAGATAAGCCGTCAAGAATGCAGCAGGCAACCAGTTAAAAGAGTGCAATAACTGAAGAGCCACAGAAGGCTAGAGGATTGTCACAGAGGGACACGTGATTCAGAATCTCATGAAGTGCCAGATAGCTGGTGATGCGAGACAACAAATTTAATTGCCCTGGTATAAGTTTCTTTTCTTCTTCTTTAGCGCACTAAAAGGCTGATACCAGAACAAGGCATATATGTATGCTGATCAATTTATTTAATTTATTTAACTATTGTCAAGTATCTATTGTGGACTAATAAGGTGGGTACCAATTTATAATTATTTGATTGGCCAACTGATGTGCTTGACTGTACCCTGCTATAGGGGGTGGTAGGCCAGGTTATCACATATCATATGGGTGAATACCACTTAAGCTATCATCTGGTTGGCGTGTGGAAGAGGTGTCGGGAAGGTGAAGCCTCAGAAAACATGCCAAGAGGGGAAAACCACATATTTAAAGCAACTGTCATCACCCATTATTGGAACCTCCACCTCTGTATAATTTTATTTTGTAGATCATCAAGTCATGACAGGAGAACAGAGAGGCATTGCATCTCCCCTCCATTTGGCAAAGTGCAGGAGGGCCACACTATTCTAGTAAAAAAGATGGTTCAGTACTTCAACAAAACTAGTTCCTGGTGTTTAGCCAGTGACTTCTACTGACTCAGTTATCTGGTTTACTTCAAAACTTCAGGAGCAACATGAAATGCTTGAATGTTATTTTTAACTTTATTTTTTAATAGATTATAGTAAACTTAGGCCTTATAATAAGTTGCCATAGTTTCAAATCTACTTATAAGCAGGCTGATTTTTAAAGAAAAAAATAAATTACCCTAAATACATTAAAATAATTAAAATAAAATCTAATTTGAAATATTTTTTATCTTCATTTTAACCTTCAAAATAGTTTGGTTCTTGAATCTAAACTACAAGACGATGTGGCTGTCTCTTAATTACCTTATTCCTGATCAAAACATAGCTTAGCATAGGACAGACTCTTCAGATATGAGAGAGCAGGAAAAAAATGAGCAAGGAAATTGACTTTTTTATAAACAATTCAGAAATTATATTTTTAACAACTTTAGATGATGACTCTTGTAGAGCAACCACTTCCATTAGACTTTGACTAATTATTTATGTACAGTACAGGCAATTACATTACACAGAAATAGGAAGTTAAGGATGGAGAATATTGGAAACCTCAGAGTCAAAACTAGGAAACTAGTCAATGAATTTCTTGAGTAAGATGAGAAATGACTTTACAGCAGGGGTGGGCAATTATTTTGGGCAGAGAGCCACTTACTGAGTTTTGGCAAGCCATCAAGGGCCGCATGACAGGCAGCCCATGGCAGATAAATATTAATTTTTAAAATTTTTTAGGGGCCCCGTGGGCTGGATAGAATGGCCTGGCAGGCCGCATCCGGCCCCCAGGCTGCATTTTGCCCACCCCTGCTTTACAGGATTTAAGCACGTTCTTATTTAAATTAGAAGAGAGAGGTAGAAAAATTTGATTTCTGAAAGTTCAGGAGTGATCTCATTAATAAGGTCAATAAAGTTTAGCTTAATAATGAAGTTCTATATTTGATCTTACTAGACCTAACATTATTCCATATCTGTTATGAATCTGGAAGTAAATATCACTGTTGACTATCACTGTTGATAAATGTTGTCATCATCGGCAATCCCTGGATATGAGGATGACAGTATTCTAGTATGTAGGGAAGTCATCAGTGAGTCTGGAGATGACTGAGGAGGCCAATCCGATATTCTCATGTTTGACAGCTTTTTCCCTTTATCCCTCTTGCCTAATCATCTTCATAGTGAGGCAAGTTTGTGCAAAATGGTCAATGCCTTGTCGTACCTTACAGTGCCACTGGGGACTATTCAGTGCTCAGATCTCTCAGGTATTGATGTTAATATCACATTTCTTCAGATTGACCTTCAAGGTGTTTTTGAATCTCTTCTTTTACCCATCTCTAGAGCAGGGTCCACTGGTGAGTTGGGAGTATAGGACCTGTTTCAGGAGTTGCCTGTCAGGCAGCCTTGGGTGTTTGTAGACGACTCTTTAAAGCAGGTTTAAAGCGGGTTAAATGCCTTTTATGCTGCTTTAATGGCATTGCTGTTTGCACATTTGGTGGTGTATTGCATGTTAATTGCAGCCGCTGTAGCACATTCGGCGGCATAATGTACCTTACATGATGTTGGGATGCAGCAATTGACTTTGGGGTGCTGCAAAGTAAAACACCTTTGAGGAGTTTTAATTTCCTACCCTACAGGAATGGAGGGAAGCACCAGGCTCCATGTGGCTCAGAGGCTGTGCAGACAGACCGTGAAGGCAGCTTGGCAGCAGCCCAGGAAAGCAGGCTCCATAGAAAGGGCGGGGAAAGTGGTGAGTCTGATGTTTTTTCCCCCTCAGAACCTTCCTGCCTGCCTGAGCTGTACAGGGGCCTGGTACTTCCCTCCATGGCTGCAGTGCTCCCTGGGACTGCCCAAGCCAGGTGATTGCGGAGGGGAGGGGACGGGTGCTGCCTGGGTTGGGGGGGGTCCCTGCTGCCATGGAGGGAAGCACCAGCCCCTTGCCCTGCAGCTCAGGTACTGCTCTGCCCGCCAGTAGCTCACTCTCCCCTCCCCACCACTGGAGGGACAAGTAAGGATCAGGAGGATATTTAGGGAGAATTAAACCCCCGTGTCATGTACAGATGTCCCTTATGACATGCCCTGTCCAACAGAGCTAGCTCCATATAAACGCAGCTTCAATGTTGGTGGTGTTTGCCTGAGCCAGAATCCTAGCATTCACTCTTCTGTCCCTCCATTTGATACAGAGGATTTTCTGAAAACATCGCTGATGGTAACATTCCAAGGCCTTCAGGTGTTTACAATATGTTGTCTAGATTTTACATGCATTCAAGGTGAGTATGACAACAGCTTGGTAGACAAAAAGTTTGGTTTGTTTCCTGATGTTATGATCGCTGAGACATAATTTTGGAGACATCCAAAGGCAGCACTTGTGGATTTTATTCTGTGTTGAATATCATCAACAATGTTTACTTTTTGGGAAAGGTGACTACCCAGGTAGGGATAATGCTCAACATTATCTAAGATCTTCCCTCCAATCATAATATGTGGGGGAACAGCTGGATGATTTGGGATAGGCTGGTAAAGTATCTTGTTTTTTGTGAAGTTGACAGTGAGTCCAAGTATTTTATATGCTTCATAGAAGCAGTCAAGAATGACCTGAGCCTTTCAATTTAGTGGGCACATACAATTGTTGCATAAAACTTGGGCAGAACATTAAATTAGAGTAATAAATAATGAGAGGTCACAGCAGTCATTCAGAGAAACATGGATCACTTGGTAACCTGGACTTATTCAAGCAAAATGTTTTAATACATATACATGCAAGCTCATATCTTTTAGTTTGTAGAATATGGGACACACAAATGAATTGGGGACTGTATTCTAGAGAACGGTAACTCAGGAAAGGATCCAGGAATTATAATGGACAAGCAATTGCACCCAAATTCCCAAAGTAATGCTGTTTCAAAAGAATTTTGATCCTTTGATAAATATATTAATAACTAGAAGCAGGAAGATAATTTTACTTCTGCATATGACATTGATAGACCAATATTAAATGTATCAATTCGTGCTTTCTACTTCTTAAAATGGATGTATTAAAAACTGGAGAAATTTCAGGGAAAAATGATACAAAGGCTAGAGAAAATGCCTTGTACTTAGAAACTTGAAAACAAGACTGAGAGGTGACCTGATTGGAGTGTACAATAACCTTAAAAGGGAGAAAGTGGATATGATAGAACTTTTTATTGTAGTGGAAAAGGCCATATAAAGAACCAATGGATAAAAAGTTAAAGCCAAAAAAATTAAAATGAGAAATAAGGGATTTGTAAGAGTAAGGATGATAAACTATTGAAACAAACTAACAAGGGAAGTGGTGAATTCATCATTTCTTGATTGTTTTAAATAAGGATGGGAAAATATGGTTCTAGAAGATATGGTTAATAGGGCTGTGCGAAACTTAGGTCGCTGATTCGATTTGGAGGAGATTCCACCCAATTCAGCAGGCAAATCTCCAAATCCGAATTGAATCAGGAGACCCATTAATCTCACCAAATCGAATTGGAGGCTTCTGATTCGATTCGGAGAGATTCAGACAGATTCAACGATTCAGACATAGACACAGCTTTATATGTTTTTTCTACATACCTCAAGATACCAGGTGGCTCATGAACGCTGAGAAGGTGGGGCTGGTGAAGCGTTTCACAGGAGTGCAGGGGGGTCCCCAGCATGCTTGGCAGCCGACCTGGAAGTGGACCAGGAGCACTCCTGGTCCACTTCCAGGTCCGCCACAGAGCGTGCAGGGGACCCCCCACCCCGCTCCCTGGCTCGGTGACTGGTGTTTCCTGGGTCTGGTGGGGCACCCAGGGTCCCCCTATGGCTGACTGCCGAGCCAGGGGGGCATGGGGGGGTCCCCCACACACTTGGCAGTGGACTCAGAAGTGGACTGGAAGTACTTCTGGTCCACTTCTGCGTCCACCACCAAGCACGCACGGCCCACCCCCCGTGCTCCTGTGGGAAGCTCCATCCTCCCCACCATCTCAGCGTTCACGAGTTGTGCCTGGTACCTCAAGGTATGTAGAAAAAACATATAAAGCTGTGTCTATGGCTGAATTGCTGATTCTCTGAATCAGAATCGAATCTTCAGATACGGATTCGGCCAAATCAAATCAGGGCAGTGATCTGAATCAGCTAATTGAATTACTGTCCCCTGAATCGGGCCAAATCTGAATCAAATACGGCCCGCTTTGTATACCCTAATGGTTAAGTCAAAAGACTTGTCTATACTTCCATGCTGTGCCTAGGAGGAAGGCAGAAAGCATGCCTCCTATTCAGTCCTTCTCCATATGTGCCAAATGCTAGAAATTAGTCAGCATAGCTACTTTAGAGTTGTCCTGAGTGCAGGTCCACAGCCACTCTCAGCCTCTCTGTCTCAGAAGCACTTGCTGGTGTCTACTCAGGACTGCTCTAAAGTGGTTACATTACTTAATTTCTGGAGTTTGGCATTTGCAGAGGGGGAAAGAATGGGCAGGGCTTACTTCTCAGCAGGCCTTCCTAGGTCAGCATGTGGACACTGAAGACATACCTAAATATAAGTTTTAGGCTTAATATAGGAGGAGCTAGCCTTTGTTGTAAAGGAGTTCAGTGTAGTGATCTATTGGTTCATCCTGGCCTTAAAAAAAATCTGCACATTTTTGGATTTTTGCTGTGCTGAAGGACCAATTCAGGAACCCACTTAAGCATGTGCTTTAGCTCTTTGCTTTTCAAGAAAGCACCTAAGTACAGACTTAAGACCCACTGGCTTAAGCGCACACATAAAGGTCCATTATGAATAAGAAAAGGTTCCCAAAGTAGGACCTTAAACAGCATTCAATCTTATTGATTGAATAGAAAATTTGTTTTCTGCATATGGTTAGGGAGTTAACAATCTTAGAAGAAAATAACTGTTGATCCCAATGCCTTATGCTAAAGTCTTTGCTCAGGTAGCTGCTGAGAACTGTGCCTAAGTCAGTGTTCCCCAATGCTTGTGGATTTACACCCCACCATAGGAAAACTGGGCACTCTCATACTCCATGCCTTAGCTGCAACTACAGCTGACACTTCCCTCATGCTCCTCCCATTTCAGCTCCTCCCATGATTCTTTCCTGTCTCCCTAGTTCAGCCACCACCACTACTTCCCTCACCACTGATTCCCCTGGCTGTTGACTGCTTCTGATTCTCCTTGCCAATGGGGGGGTGGGGGGGTGGGGAGGGGGGGTTGTGTCAATTGCCAGCGAGGGGAATGAGCTGGAGCAAGCGGGGAGGAGTAGTGGTGGTGGCAGAAGTAGAAGGGCTGAGGGAAACAGCAGTGCCTGAAGTACAGGGGAAGTACAGGGGACATGAGAGTAGCTGAAGTAGAGGAATGCCACTAACTGCCACCCTGACTCCCAAGTGCCTCTTAGGGCAGTGGTTTTCAACATGTGGTCTGCGGACCCCTGGGGGTCTGTAGATTATGTCTAAGAGGTCTGCGAAAGATGACTATGATCAACCAAAAGTATATGAATACCCACACTTGCAATTCAAAGGGGTCCATTCAAAACTTTTTGAGGGTCTGCATACGAAAAAAGGTTGAAAACCACTGCCTTAGGAGAAGGTCTAAGGCCGGGTAGGGCAAGATATAGCCCACAGAGGGTCTTTGTCTGACCCACAGTGGGTCCCTTGGTCCCACCTGGCCCAAGTGCTGTCCAGCCTGTGGTGAGTCCTGTCACCCCCTGAGCTCTGGGCAGCTGCAGCAAGAGTTGCCCAGCAGTGGTGAAGGGAAAGGGCCATTTTTCCCCCATGCCAGCAGCAGCTTCTGCCTGGCCACTGCTGCCACTACTTAGTGTGGGTGAGTGGTGCAGAACAGGTGTGGGCTGTGCTGGGGCCACCACCAGCAGCAGCCACAGTCCTAGGGCTCAGCAGGCCCGTCTTCCCTGCCCTACCTTATGCGTGGATGTATGGAAAGAGGGGTTTGCCATCTTGGAACCAAAAAAACCAAATCATACACTAATAATCAAACATCTATTATAACATATTTTATTTCAAAAATTATTTTTGTCCTTATTGACGTGCGTTTGCAATTGCGAAATAGCTCAAAATAAAGTCTTACACATATATATTGTATGTGGGGTGTGGTTGGGGGGCTGGATGTGTGTGTGGTGGGGTGTGGAGGTGTGTGTGCGCCGTGTGGGTGTATGAGGGGGTGGGATTGGGGGAGATGGGTATAGGTGGGTTTGGTGTTTTTGGGGGGTGTGATTGTATATGGGGGAGGGTGTGGTTGCGGGGTTTGTTGGGGAGCAGGTGTGGGTATGGTGAGATGTGCATCATACACACGCACGCACACATGTGTGCACATGCCGTGGGGTGACACCCTCTCCACATACATGGAAGTGTGTCTCAAAGGTACACCTGACTGCATCTGGGATCAGGGCATGTTACAGACTATTATAATTATTATAGCAATAGTCACCAGTGAGGCTACTGATAACAGAGGTTTTGTACTATAGATTGATAAGGGCGAAGTGTGAGAGGTTCAATTGATATATTTATTTACAAAGCTATGAATATAGCTTAAAGTGTGATAATCTACAATATGTTCTGGATTAAATTGAAACTATGTAATGTGAAGTAGAAGTATATCAGGTCAAATGGATCCACAATTTGAAAAGTAAATATTTTCTAAAGAAATAAATCTTATAAGCAACTCTTATAAATTATATCTAGGAGCTTTGTTATTTAGTGCTGGTATCTTTACCTCTGTTATGGTCTCCTGTAATACTGCAGCATATACGTCAGTAGATAGTGTTATTGGAGACTGCATTGCAATATTTAGAGCTTCCTGTACCATAACTTGGACTTCTGGGTGAGCTGCAGTTACCTCTAGCTCTGATGTTTCTGTGGATGACTCTTCTATTGACTCTGCAAGCAACAGAGATATTGAAATAAAGTATTAATTAATTAATTCATATGATTAATAATGCAGTAATATAATTATTGATTCATAGAAATGTAAGATTGGAAGGGACTACAAGAGAGCATTTTGTCCAAGTTTTTTCATTTACTGAGACAAGATAAAGTATACCTAAAATATTCCTAGCAGGTATTTGTCTAACTTCAGTTTAAAAAAATCTCTAATTCCATAACATCCCTATATAGTCCATTGTAGTATTTCACCACCCAATAATTAGAATAAAATATTAATAATAATAGATAGCATCTATCTAGAAGTTTCATAAAGGATTTATAGGTTTTATTTCACTGATCACCAAAATGAGCCATTTCCTTAGGTAGAACTGAACAGCTACCACAGCAACACTGCACAATATTTATTAACATGAACTGAGAAATATATGCCAAATAAAACTTCAGAGATTATATAACATAATCACAGTACAATGACCCCTAGCACCATGTGGAGCATTGGTTCAATGCTCTTTTCAAATGACACTCTTTTTAAATGCTATGGCTACAACATGAATCTTATACAACAGTACTGTTTTTGAAGATACTTTTTAAATTGCTAGAACTTTCTATAGCACTCTCAGAGTTCTTTAGAGGGTCTTTTAATCAAAGTATTGGCCATCTCTGACACCTACTAATTTTTCATTAGTGGCAAAAATCATATTTCAAGGTAGCACATCATAGACACTAGGGTTGGAAGGGACCTCGGAAGATCATTGAGTCCAGCCCTCTGCCCCAGGGGCAGGAAGTCAGCAGGCATCATAGGATCCCAGCAAGATAAACATCCAAATGTCTCTTGAAGGTGTTCAAAGTAGGTGCTTGAACCACCTCCAGCGGCAGTCTATTCCAAACCTTGGGGGCTCGGACAGTAAAGAAGTTCTTCCCTATGTCCAGACTGAAACGGTAATGAAAGACTTTGTAACCATTTGACCTTGTCTTCCTTTGGGGCTCTCTGGTGAACAGACATTCCCCCAGATCCTGGTGAGCACCCCTGATAAACTTATAGGTGGCCACCAGATCACCCCTAAGCCTGCACTTTTCCAGGCTGAAGAGTCCCATGGCTCTCAGCCTCTCATCATAAGATATGTTTTCCTGACCTTTGACCATGTGTGTGGCTCTCCTCTGTACTCTCTCAAGCTTCTCCACATCCTTTTTGAATTGTGGAGCCCAAAACTGGACACAGTACTCCAGCTGTGTCCTCACCAAAACTGAGTACAGTGCGAGAATGATGTCCTTGGATTTGCTTGAGAAGCATCTATAGATGCAAGCCAGCGTTTTGCTCACTTTACTAGCTGCAGCATCACACTGAAGGCTCATATTCATCTTGTGGTCAATCATGACTCCCAAGTCCCTTTTGCCCATAGTGCTAGCCAGAGTAGCACTGCCGAGCCTATAAGCATGCTGCAGGTTTTTCTTCCCAAGGTGGAGAACCTTGCATTTTTCAGTGTTAAACACCATCAGGTTCTCATCCACCCATTTCCTGAGCCTGTCAAGGTCTGCTTGGATCACCCTCCTGTCTTCAGGTATGGACACTTTACCCAGAGTTTGCTGTCGTCGGCAAACTTGGCCAGTCCACTTCTGACTCCAATATCCACATCATTAATGAAGATGTTGAATAGTATAGGCCCAATGACAGAGCCTTGAGGTACCCCACTGGTCACAGCGCACCACGATGATTGACTTCCATCAACCACCACCCTCTGGGTCCTACCACAGAGCCAATTCCTCAGCCAGAGGATCACGGTGAGGCCAAGGCCACAGTTAGCCAGTTTTGCTAAGAGTTGATCATGGGATACCAGATCAAAGCCTTTTTTAAAGTCAAGATATATAACATCAATCTCTTCTCCCTTGTCCAGGTGATAGGTCACCTGGTCGTAAAAGGAAATAAGATTGTTCAAGCAAGACCTACCCACAACAAACCCATGCTAGCTATCTTTCAGGATGTTGCCATCAGTCAGTCTGTTAAGAATGGTCTCTTTGATAATCTTTCTAAGACCTTCCCTGGGATAGAGGTCAGGTTGATGGGCCTACATCATCGGACTACAAACTATAGTATCAACATTATTAAGGTGCCTAAGTCAGTAATTCATATGGACATCTGCTGTGTTTTTAAATCACTCACTTCTGGTACAATGTAACTAAAGATCATATGCTGAAATAATTAAAGAAGTTTTAACATTGGTTTGTTACTTCATTATTTAATAAAAAGTTTGCAAAAAATACTGTGGAATGACTTCAAAATATGTAGTTTGCCCTGTTTGTTACCATTTGACAAAATTATAAGACTTATATTTTTAAAATCTAATTATATCAAGATTTTCACTGTTTTTGTCAATGTCAAAATATTTTCTCACAATCATAGACATTATCAATCTCTAAAACTTTTAAAAGTTGTTTTGTAAGTATTTGTGCCCAGACATAATTATAGTAATTTATGACATTAGCACCATTTAGTTCTTCTGTTATTTCTTCTCCTGCAGTTCTGAATGTGGAAGTTTCCTCCGTGCTATTTTTAGTATCTATTGTGGGTATGGAATATCATAAGAAGAAAAGAAACATGATGAAAGATGCAAATATTTTTTTTCAAAAAGCTGGAAGAATACAATTTGCTAACTCTATTCCTCCTTTGTGTAGAGACTTTTACATTCTCAAATAGCAGACTATTACATTCATCATGCTATTTAAAATGGTATTAAGGTGATAATTACAGTTCAGATAGTACTTTAGCAGATTCCATTTAAGGTTACATTTTAAAGCTAATTTTGCAAATGGTAACTCTTGCATAGTGTACTTAGTTGTTTGTAAGACTCAAGTAATTGGCAGAACTGCATTTCTGTGAAATTCTTAATATAGAAAAAACCTGCTTAAATATTATGTATGAGATTCCAGCTGTTCTGTGCTAAAATGGGCCATAATTCTGCAGTTCAATATCCAGCTGCTGTAGCATTCTGGTGTGTATTCTAGAACACCTTCAACAAATGGAGAGTGTTTATTTCAAAAAGAATACTTTAATTAATTGCTCCTATGTTATGTATTTTGATACTGAACTGAGTGTATAATTCCAGGATTCCTAAAAATGTTTAGAAAAGGCTACAATTACACTTTGTTGTGCTAACATGTGCAGTACCAAATGAACACTCAAAGAAAATATTGGCATTTAAAAACTCTTATCATTTTTCAAATATTTTTCCAGTTATGATTTTTAATATTTGTAACCAAAATGGTTTGACCAGAACAAAAAGAACCATACAGACATTTCAAGTTATTTTTAAGGTGCTAGAACTATTAAATAATAATCAAAATTATTTTTCAGTAATGTCAGAAGGTGTATTTTTCTCTTTTGTCTCCAAACTTTATGCTGTTGAGCCATTCTGGATGAAATTTAGACATGTTTCATTCTCATTCAAATCCAGTTATATAAAATGACCCAGAGAAATTTGGAACAGCCATGAGCCATTGAGAAAGGACCTTATAATATTGAACATTTATAAAAGCTTAATTATTGTGTTAATTAAACAAGCCATATGAGGAAAGGGTGAAGGATCTGGGACGCTTCAACCTGAAGAAAAGAAGGCTGAGAGGGGACCTGGTAGCAGCTTACCGCTACACTAGAGGAGTACATCAAGGGTTCAGTGAGCAACTGTTCACCAGGGCACCCGAGGAGAAACCTAGCCACAAACTCCTGGAAGACTGATTCAGGCTCAACATTAGGAAAAACTTTTTCACAGTCAGGGTGTCCAGACTGTGGAATAAGCTCCCTCCAGAGGTGGTGCAATCACCTACCCTGGAAATCTTCAAGAGGAGACTAGACAGTCACCTTGCTGGGGTCACCTGACCCTCAGTTATCTTTCCTGGTTGGTGCAGGGGGTTGGAGCCGATGATCTTCCAAGGTCCCTTCCGGCTTTACAATCTACGAATCTGTGTTATATACATACCCAGTATAATAAACATATTTTCACCTTCAGTAATTTTATTTAGATGCATATCTGCCTCTTTTGCAGTTGCTGACATGTATCTGTGCGTGATAGAAACTGAGTGATTCTACTACCTGTAATGAACTGCAATGAGCTAAGTAAACCTTTGAATATTTTTACATAACTCATGTCTGCATGACTCCATTTCCATTATTTTGTAACTCAAAACTCTCCTATACTAAAGTCCTTCCCTTTCTTTTTTCAAAATCCTAAATCCATTAATATACAAATCTTGGTAAATTTCATACTTGGCATGACATACATAAAAGTAGTATGTAGAGTTTGACTCACAAGTGGATGTTCTGAAGGGGTGAGGGTTGGAAAAAAGTCAACAGAATGAAGTCATTTGGAAAACTGTCTGTATGAATTGGAATCCCTATTTTTTTTCTGAGTCATTTTTGGAAAAAAAAGTCTGAGAAAAAATGTACATCAAAACATCAAACTTTTCACCAAAATGGATGCCTAACCCTTATCAAAGTCAATGGGAAGTTTTTACATAACGAGAAGTGTAGGGACAGTTTCAGGAGTAACAATAGTCTCCATCTTTAGAACAAACTACAAAAGTTTACTTTTATCCGAGAAACGAGGATTTTTGTGGGTGGTATCTTTTATCTTTAGAGATCTTTTATCTTTATGAGATCTCAAGCTGTTTCTGTTTCTTTCTCAGACCCGGGAAAAGGTACTTTATACCTAAAAGCTTGTCTATATCTCTCCCAATTTTGCAATTGGTTCAATTAAAGATATCATTCACAAAACCCCTTGCCTTTTGTATTTTTCCTGAACCAGCACAGCTACATCACTCCAACACTACTAAAATTTACTTTTTCAATTTAGCTTTCCTCCAGTAATAGTAATGAAGCCTTAAAATATTCCTGCCAAGGCAGATGAGGAAAAGGGAAAGGAAACAGTAACTCTTCATTTTTGAAACTGTAAAGAACTTTGATAGCCCAGTGTGAGTAAGGGATTATGGTTATTTTTTACCTTCTTTGTTGATGTCAGATTTTGTAGTTCCAGCCTCTTTTTCCATGCTTCCTTCTTCCCCAGTTTTAGGGGCTTCTGCAATCTCCTCCATTTCTTTGTCACTACTAGCTTCTTGGGCATCCACTGCAGCTGTGAAATAACATTAAACATAGATACATTATGGGCAGATGATAAACACCTTTTTCTTTCAAATTAACACTCGCTCTAATTTCAATAATTTTTAGTCTTGAAAAATAAAAGCAAAAGCAAAAAACTGTACTGAAGCAGTGTTTCTTTAACACAAAGAAAGCAACTCTAATATTTGTGTTAAAAACATAGAGCATTCTTGACCCACACATATTATAATCTTGATAGACTACAGAGATTTTAAATATTCAAAAAGTCAGAATTATAAATATTTCTTTTTGTAACACAAAATGTCCATTAAATGTTATGCAACTGTTGACTTCATCCACATAACTAGATGTTCTGCCAGTCTCCAGTAGAGTGCCGAGAAAGCAGCTTGGACAAAAGCAGAACCAGTTGTAATAGTTGGACTTCTCCATGGAGATAATAATACCACTAAACACCTCCATCAATATCTCTGCAACCTACTTGTGCACAGGGTTAATCTTCTTCAGTTTCTTTTGATTCAGATATGAAGGAACAGAGGTTTTTCTCTGTAGCCTTTCTGGGAAGCATGATTTTTGCAGCACTCTTGTCACAGAGCTTTACCTTTTATGATCTTCAGGTAAATGACAGCCAAAAGATTAGCATAAAGCCGCAAAGAGCTTGGGGGCTGGGACTGCAATGGCAGGCATGAACCATTTCATTCTGATTGTGATGGGTAGGAGGAAATAAGGCAGGATGACACTGATATTAATTGAAAACCAATATTAAATACATATTAAGTGTCATATCAAGTCCTGCATGGGTTCTTCTAACAGTCACCATGATCCATTTTACACTCATGGATTTGTCCACCAACTTTCCTGTCGTGGCAAACCTTGACTCAGTGACTTATAGATCCTTGTCTTAGTGTGAATTTTATACAGAAAGCTTATAGAAAAACATTTCACACGTGTCTTTAGCTACTTCCAATAAACAAGATCAGTAAAAAGAAAATATGATTAATGCAGTACAGGATGTCCTAGTTAATGAGCTGATGATTCAAAGCCTTTAATGAGGGTGATCCAAGCTTGAATGAATAATTTTTTGGTTTCTTAATGTTTTCCTGGAAAGGACAATAGAATTATGGAAATATATCATTATTTTACCACTGTACAGCAGTTAATTTTTGAAGTGTGAAGAGTAGATAGACCTACACCTATGTAATACTTTTAATATAATTACTCGGAAAATGGGCAATTTTTTATTGTGAGCAGTTGTACTTAAGTCTAGAAACAGTAAATTCACAAAGCCTGGTAACTAGTCTCCTGATCCAGAAGAATCCAGTCTTTTGCAAGAGTTAGTTTGAGATTAAAATCTGAGATTCTGAATGCTAGGCTCAAAATTGATTTAATCATTATATAACTATATTATGAACTCATATTTACATCCATGTTTCAGGGGTGTAGGTTATAGCCATGTTGGTCTAAGGACATAGACAGACAAGATTCTTTGGGTAAATTTGATATCTTATATTAGATCAACTCAAATAGTTGGAAAAAATCTTCTTTGCAAGTTTTCAGGTACAGATACCCTTCATCAGGCTGAGGAAGTGCCTGCAAACACTTCCTCAACCAGACAACAGGTATCTGTACCCAACGTTTGCAAAGAAGAATTTTTCCAACTATCTGGGTTGGTCTAATAAAAGATACTGGATTTAGATGGGATTCTGCATGATCCTCCCAGCTTTCTATGCTGATGTTGAATGACTTTATATCATTTTTGCACACATTGTGGTTCTGCCATAGAGGGTGACCCCACTTTCTAGAGCTATCTTGAATCTTGCGATACAAAATATTTTTGGGGATCTGGTCTCTTCCCATTCTCTTTACATGACCAATCCATCACAACCTCCTTTTCTTGATAATGTTTTTTTCAATGTGTCATTTCTGCCTGCTCTAGTACCTCTGTGTTTGATATTCTGTCTTTCTGCTTTATTTTCAGGATCTTATGCAGACATCTCATATGCAAGCTGTTCTGTCTCTTGATGTGCCTAGTATATGTAGTCTACGTTTCTGGACTATAAAGCAGGGATGACAGCACACAAATCTCATAGACTTGCATCTTCACCTGAGCTGATAGTTTGCTGTTATTCTATGCACATTTCTGTAACAGCCTGAAATTCTTAGCTGCTTTTCTGATTCTGTTAGTCAGTTCATTCTGAAGGTCAAGATCCCTGCTGATTGCAGAACACCAGTAACAAAAACTGTCTACACCAAGAGATTTATCCTCCAGAGTGATGTCAGGTATTGGTTCTTCCACCCCATGGTACATGATAAAAGTCTTCTTGAGACTAATTGTCATCCCAAAGCTCTTGCATGATTCAAACAATTTGCCCAAGATATTTTGCAGGGAAGATTCACTGTCGGCAACCAAGGCTGCATCATCCACAAATAGGAAGTCTCTCAGTACCAGTTCTTTTACCTTGGTTTTCACTCGAAACCTTGCAATGTTGAACAAGCCTCCATTTAGTTTGGTTCGAAGATAAATGCCATCATTGCTGTCCTTGAATGCACAAAGAAGCAAGAATGAAAAGTAGATGTAAAAGGACAGGATGAAGACACACCCCTTTTTCACCCAATTGTCAGTGTTAAAGGCATTTGATTCTTTGTTTTCATACAGTACAGCTGCCTTCATACCTTGATGTAATGAGCAAATGATATTCAAGTTTGGGGAGACACCAGGTTTCTTCAGAACAGTAAAAAGGCACTGTCACTTGACTGTGTTGAAGGCCTTAGTCGGATCAATTAAAACTATGTACAGTGGTATTCATTTTTCTCTATATTTTTCTTGCAATTGCTTGACTGAAAATATCATATCAATGCTAGAGCATCCTAAGTGAAAACCACATTGACTTTCAGAATAGATTCTTTCACCTAGGTGCCCATATATGAGCATGGAGGCTGCTCCAATGCACTGTAATTTCAGCGTGTCAGAGCCAACTCAATCGAGTCTGCTGGAGCATGGCAATTACTGTGCTCCAGCAGCCTCTTGCATCTTGTGTATCTGCCCCACATTTCAAAATGGTGGTGAGGGTGCTTGAACTAAAGCTTGTTTGACAAACTTTAGTTCAAGCGCCCCTACTGCCATTTTGAAGCACAGGGATGCTGATACATGAGATGCTGTGATGCTTTAATTAGAACAGTTCTCGGAGGCACTCTAATTAAAGCACTGCCTATCCCACACCCCCAGAGCATGTGTAGAAGTGCCCCTAGAGATTGCAACCTAGGGAGCATGATGCAAGTTACAATTTTTCTGGTAATGGTCAACAGAGAGATACCTTTATAACTGTCACAGTTGCTTCTATCCCCTTTGTTTTTGCATCCTTGTACAAACAAAGCATCTTTGAAATTTTGTGGTGCTGCTTCCTCTTTCCATCAGAGCAGTATAACATCATGCAGGTTTTGAAGTAATTCATCGCTGGTACATTTGTACATTCCAGCAGGCAAACAGTTGTTGCAAGATGCCTAATTCCCAGGAATCAATTTCATGGCTTTCTGTAAATCTTCTAATGTAGGCTCACTGTCTAAATCTATCATAACTTTGAACTCTGGTAATTCTTCAATCTCTTTGTGTTTGATTTCAGTCTCACTGGAGTATAGAGAATTCCACAGTGTTCAATTCAACACTCGAGTGGTTTTTGTTTATCAATAATGACATTTCCATTTAAGTCTTTCAGCACAGCTGTTTTCTTTTTGACCAAACCAATTGCTCATTTGATTCCTTCCTTCCTCATTTGATACCTTGGCTATTACCTGCAGCAGCTGCTTTCTGAATATCATCACAGAGTGTCAGCCAAAAAGCTTAGGTACACCTCTTAGCCTCCTTTTGCATTTCTCTTTTAGCCTTTCTCAGGTTTTCCAGGGTTATAGTTTTAGGAGATTTCTTATAGTTGGTTAGCGCTGTCCTTTTGTTCTCAACCAGTGGTAGAAGGGTAAAAAATTAATTTATACAACATAATTAAATGCACTCTGTTGATAAAGTTGAGAATATTTCCAAGTAGGAGAAGCTGCTTTATTGAACTAATCTAAACATTAGTAAGACAGCCCGAAAGACAGGAAACACATTTACCTTGCTCTTTTAACATTTTTTCGTATTCCAGCTTATTTTTCACTGCTGTTATTGCTGCTACTATTGCTTCAGAACGTGCTTGTTCAATGATTTTTTCCCTTGTTTTCTCCATACTTGGTTGGATAAGTTTGGCTATATCAAGAACCTACAGAAAATATTTGAACTCATAGGGATATGCACAAACAAACATACAGAAACAATTCTACTCTAAGTAAGGGTGGCATGAATTTGGAAAGGCCCCAATGGCTTCAGTAAAAGCAACATTTCTCTCAGAGCTTCTTCATGTACCAAATAATTTTCAATTACAAAATCTGATTCTCTTGAATACAAAGGATGACACTCATAGGTACTTCTTGACATTACTACTATCTAGAGCTAGTTATCCCCCGTTTTGTATTTGTTCATGGCTTTTTTACCAGCCATATTGGCTGATACTGATCCAATTGCTGATATGCAGCCCGGCAGCTTGGAGAGCAGTATCTGGCTGGTAAGTCTGTTGCGGAAGAAGGAGAGGTGGGGAGGGAGGAGGTGTGGGGGACAGGTTGAGGCTCCCATAATAAGGGAGGGAGTGGAGATTGAGCTGGGGCAGGGGCAGGCGCTGCCCAGGCGGGGCAGGGCGGCACATGGGACAGAGCCACAACTTGTCTGGGGGGCACGGAGTGTGGGGTTCTCCCACCATGCACATCCCTGGGGGAGGTATGGGGGGCATGCGCCTCTGGGATCTGTGCATGAAGCAAGAGCAGGCTGCTGCTGCACGCTTGGGGCTGGAGGCTGTGCTGACATCTTCTTGGTGGAGGGAGCTGGGCTGGGGCCAGGAATGACATATCCCCGGCGGCTGAGGGGACATGGCAGCGGTGGGAGTGCAGAAGCAGGAGCGTGGTGGCAGTAAGCAGTGAGCTCCTGCAGTTGCTGCCAGCACTGCCGCGGGGGGGGCGGGGGGCGGGGTGAGCGCCGACCTGGGGTTGGCGACCACCTGCAGATATGCAGACCACCTGGGGGATATGGCGAGTGGCGACTGCCCACAGGTGCCGCCAACAGTGTCGGTGGCACCTTTTTGTAGGGGGTGCACCGCCATGCTCAGGGGGTGCATGTGCACCTGTGTGTACCCCCTACGCATTGCCAATGCAGGGGCAGGGTGGGGTGGGGTGGGGTGGGGCAGGCAGCAGCAGCACTGGGGGAGGCTACAGGGGGGCTACAGCCACCCCAAACTTTGCCATAGCCCTCCCTCCCATTGCCATGCCCCTCCCAGCATCCCAACCAGCCCTGACCCTGGCCCCACCAGGAAGAGAGCAGCACAGCTTCTGACCCTGTGTGCACGGTGGCAGCCTGCCCTTACCCTACGCACAGATCCAGGGAGCACATACACCCTATGCCTCCCCTAGGGGTGCACACAGCAGCTGGAACCCCTCCCCCTCCCCACCCCTCTGCACCCCCCTGGATGAGCCACAGCTCCATCCCACACCCCGCCCTGCACCAGCTGGGAAGCACCTGCCATTGCCCCAGTTCCAGCCCCACCCACGCCCTCCCTCACCACAGGGCCTTGATCTGTTCCCCGCATGCTCCTTCCCTCTCCCACACCCCTTTCCTCCCACAGACTTACTGGCTGAATGCTGCTCTCCAAGCTGCTGGGCTGCACTCCTGGCCACATACATGCTGTGGTTGTGCACATGCATACGACATTTATCGGCAACATTATCAGCCACATCAGCCAAAAAAGCCAATTGCCAATAAAATTAATTTTCCTTTTATCGGTGCCGATATGATATGGACTGAATTATTGATTCATACGTTCATAGATTCATAGATGTAGGGTCGGAGGGGACCTGAGCAGATCATCAAGTCTGACCCCCTGCCCTGGGCAGGAATGAATACTGGGGTCATATGACCCCTACTAAGTTAAGCTCATATGACTCCAGCTAGGTAGTTATCAAGCCTCCTTTTAAAGACACCTGAGGTAGAAGCCAGAACCACTTCCCTTGGAAGCTGGTTCCAGATCCTGGCCGCCCTGACTGTGAAGTAGTGCCTCCTGATGTCTAGCCTGAACCTACTTTCAATCAACTTGTGGTCGTTATTCCTTGTTACTCTGAGAGGCGCTCAGGGGAACAGGGTCTCACCCACTCCCCTCTGTTCCCCTGGTAAGTTTATAGACGGCCACTAGATCCCCTCTCAGCCTTCTCTTGTGGCAGCTGAACAGGTCCAGGTCCCTTAGCCTCTCCTCGTAGGGCCTGCCCTGCTGCCCCCTGATCATGCGAGTGGCCCTCCTCTGGACCCTCTTGATGCTGGCCTCATCCCTCCTGAAGTGCGGCGCCCAGAACTCAGTGAACTGAAGTGTGGACACAGTCAGCACCCAGAACTGGATGCAGTACTCCAACTGCAGCCTGACCAATGTCGCATAGAGGGGGAGGATCACTTCCTTGGACCTGCTCGTGATTCATCTGTGGATACATGACAAGGTGCGGTTAGCCTTGCTGACTGCGTCCTCACATTGGCAGGCCCATGTTCATTTTAGAATTAATAATGACACCAAGAGCTCTTTCTGCCACTGTGCTTTCAAGAAGCCTATAGGTATGCCGCTGGTTCTTCCTGCCCAAGTGCAGTACTCTGCACTTGCCAGTATTGAATCCTATCCTATTTACATTTGCCCTCCCCTGTAACCTGTCCAGGTCCAGTTGTATCCCATCCTTCCCTTCTAGCGTGCCCACCTTGCCCCAGATCTTGGTGTTGTCAGCAAATTTGAACAGGGTACTTTTCACCCCCTCATCCAAGTTGCTGATAAAGAAATTGAACAGTACAGGCCTGAGGACTGAGCCCTGGGGGACTCCACTGCCCACATCCCTCCAGGTTGAATATGACCCATGCATCACCACTCTCTGGGCACAGCCCCCTACCCAATTTGTAGCCCATCTGACTGTGTAGGCATCAATGCCACAGTCACCTAGCTTTTTAATGCAAATGGGGTGGGAGACAGTGTCAAAGGCCTTCCTGAAGTCCAGAAAGACTACATCCACTACAATTTTTAAAATGAAGCATTTTGTTTCTGAGGTGAGAGGGACAGGCCGCTGGGAACAAATCCAAGAGAAACCACCATGGAATGAATGCCGAAAGCCTTTTAAAATGGTAGGGAGCGTTTGATAATAATGGGA